TGGTGTGCCTTACCCTCCATTGTGACGCTGCGATGCATTAGCGAAGTGGTCGCATAAGCAGTGACTCACGTCAGATGTGCCTACGCACCGCTGAACATTTCGGCGCTTCACCACGTCACAGCTGATCACGTCGTCGCTGCACCGCTTCGTCCCCTTCGGGCAACACATTCCCGTTTGGCGGCTTCTCCTCCCCACCGGGTTCCTTTCCCTGCTGGCCGCCTACTCCCGACGTGACGCTGGCCAGAAACTCCAGAACTTGCGACTTCTTCTGGTAACTTATATTAATTTTGTATGAATTGGGGTACTTGCTTTTTTGCGGCCAGTTAAGAACTATGTCGATAAAATCGCGGATGGCATAGGACAAATTGAATGTATTGTCGTAGACATTTTTTAAAAAAAACACAAGTGCTATGAAGAAGGAGGAGCAGTAGTAAAACCTGTCCTTCTTGTAAACGTAGAATTTGGGATAGGGTCTTATCTTCAGTTCGTTAATGGTTTCCAATTTTTTGAATAGCAATCTGATTTTGCTTTCAATCCAGCCCTTCCAGGAATTGTATATAAGCTCATCGGTGGCCATTACCTGGATGTGAAGGAAGTGTTTGTACGTGGCAAACAGGTCAAGTGGCTGGAGTACATTTGTCCATATGCTGCTGCCGCTGCTAGTACTGTCGGTACTACTGCTCGGCGCGCTGACCGCAGTGACGACCCCGTTGGCCTGATTCATAACAAAGGTGACATTCGCACCTGGATTCATTTCCATATAGTTGATAATGTAGTGGGCCCTCTTAAACTCATCTATGAGGATGCTCCTCGTACAGTACGTGACATTGTGAGTTGAGTTCATACAAGGGAAGGCAGGAGTGATAATGGGCATCACGTGTAACTTATCTTTGATATTCTTCTCAGGATCCCATACAGAGAAGTTTCTCAACCCATCTACATGATTGTACTTGTTTATATTTTGTATAAGGACAGGGTACTTCCAATTCCATATAGAATAGACCCTAAAAAATTTACATATCAATTGGCTAACATTATAATTAGGATAAAGTTGGCAAATTTTGGCTGTTAGTAATGCCCATGAAATTCCTCCAAGGAAGCCTAAAATGTTGCTGTAAATTCCTCTGTTTTTTGCCCATAGTTTGATGTAGCGGAGGGTGTTTCTAAAGTGGTCCTTGTGGGGTACCGAGGCTAATATCAAATCAGCTACTCTTATACCGTTAAGAGACCTCACCGTGACTTCGTCTAGATTTTTTAAAATGTAATCATTGTCTAGTGTGTAATAGCAATCCTTTAGTGTCTTATATGGCAAGGTTGCTAATAACAAGTCGATGTCCACATCATCATACATGAATTGAATTATCGGAGTGTAGGTCTCCGGAAGGGATTGCAATTTGCGTACATTTCTATCCTGCTGTAATTTTAAGTAGAACTCATTAAAAAAGATTTCCCTGGTTATATTTTGAGGTGCTAAAAAAATACAATCGATATCACTGTTAGGGGTTATAACTCCCAAACGGTAGGAACCAAATGTGTACAGATTCCCGTGTATATGTTTTGCGTCTTCTTCATTTATCCCTTGACTTATCGATATTTCCACAACAAATTCGTGGAATAATTTGTTAATCATTCCTAGTACCCTTTCCCTCTTCTTTAGCGCTTGTTCCGTTTCGTACAGATTGTAGCTTTTTAACAATTCCACCACGTCATTTCCTTTTTTTAAATCTTCCTCGGAGGGGTAATTAAGGGAAATTGGTTCTGACACTCCGTATTTGTACTTTTTCTGTAATTCTCCTACTATGCCCGATTCGTTATTTATTGTTTCTCTCCTACTTCGGAAGGAGGTGTCTTTCCCACCCAATCCTCCTTCTCCTCCTCTTCTTCCACCTGCCTCCTCCAGACTTTTACTCAGCGCACATTCTATGTTGTAATTCAGGTAGGTGTCTTCATTTTCTTCTTTTATGTCACTTAACTGCAAAAAATCCTCAATTGATTCCTTTCTTCGCAGTATGAAGTTGCTGCAATCCAGCAGGTTTTCGCTTTCGTAGACGGTATGCATTGGCAAGGCTTTAAGGGCGGTCTGTCTAAGCGGTCTATCTAAGCGGTATGTCTAAGCGGTCTATCTAAGCGGTATGTCTAAGCGGTCTATATATACAGCTATGCGTCCACGTTGGGATGCGGCGTCAAAAAGGGCTAACCAATAAAAAATACGTAAAAAAAACGGGGTCTCGACCCGGTGAGGAGGGCATAAGCGCCAAGTTAAAAATCAAAAGTGGGTTCAAAAAAGGGAAAGAAAACAAAAGAAAAAAAAAGACTCTACAGAAGGGCTTAAAAAAAGCTAAAGTTAACTAAAAGGTGGATGTGGGGGACTAAAAAGGGTGTGAAAAATGTCCACAAAGTAGAACACATATAAACTTAAAAACAAAGGCAAACACTGGAACGAACTCGTGCAGAGGGGTTGAAATAAAGATGAGCGTGTTTCAACTGAATGAGAAGATTGCATAGTACAAATGGGCAGATAAATGTAACATAAAAAAGGGGCGACTCTTCCGGGGTGGAGGGGGAAGCAGCCGCGCGTTCAAATGGTTATATCGTTGGATGGTTGGATGGTTAGATGACTAAAATAATTGGTGAATCACGCGGAAAGGTTACGTACGTGTATGCGACACATTGCATCATACGCGCAGGCAAACTCGCCCACACGCTTATCTACATACATGTGCACATACAATAACCACATACAATAAACGGACGTAACGTTTAATCACTCAGGTTAGGAAGCAGCCCTTGTTGACGGCGAGCGGTTGGCGGGTGAATTAAAAAATTAAATAAAAAAAAAAAATAAAAAATAAAAAGACAAATAAATAC